AACACTTTTTCACACCACTGTGTATATATATATATATATATATATATATACACAAAACATTAAATTGCTTATTTTATTTCTTTATTAAACACTGCATTACTGGCATTATTACAACACTGGCTCTGTCTTTAAATAAAAAGTCTATCAGTATTGCTGCAACAAACTCTTCATACTGCAGTTCATGGTGCTGTTGTAAATGGGAGAAGATGTTTAAGATGCGTACATTTGTGAATGCAAAATATTTTAGCAAAATTTATTTTTTATTCAGAAGTACTCACATGACTGTGTAACATTTACAGATAAGGACACAATCTGATGCAAGTTATGTGCTCACATTAACAATTTACTGTGAAATGTTTAATTATATTCAACAAAACATGAAATGGCAAAATAATGGTAAGAGGCTATACCATTTTCAGAAACCCCTGTGTGATTCATCACAATTATATTTTATTTATATTTTACAATCTGTCTTCCTTTTTCTGTTGTAAATTATGCTTTAAGTTTATATGGTACGTTTTATGTCATTTACTTTTATTGTGATATTGTGTATGATGTTGTTTTGTGTCTATGTGCCATGTGGTAACACTTTACATTTCTTTTTTTTTCTATACATTTTTATGGCTTTTTTCTTTAATTCTACGTGTCCTATTTTTTCTGTTTTATTATGAATGGTTATAAATAACTTTTAAAAGCACAAAACAGATTTTCATTGTATAGTGTGCTAACTGCTAAGCCAGTAAAAGTTAATTGACTTGGTCTACAGTTAAAGGCAACATGAAATGATTTGAACTACACCATGTCCACTGAGGAAAAACTAGAAAACTAGGTAAAAACATCAGCAGTGTCTCATATCACTCATAATAAAGGTCAGCGGTGAGGAGCTCCTTCGTATTAACTTGCGGAGAGTTGTGTAGCGTTTACAGCTCCTGGAGACTATCGGTGACTAAGCCTCATATTAAACACAAGAGAAAACAGCACTGAAATGATTCAACAGCCTCATGAAAGCACAGTATGCATGGGTAACTTTCACAGCCTATTATTTTTGGAGAACAGAGGACGTGGCTCTTTCTTTCTGCCTACATCTCCCTTTTTCCCTCCCAATTTGCATGATTTAAATCTTAAGCACTGTGTGGATTTCTACACCAGCGATCGATGGGCTCAGACCTCCGAGTAGCTGCTGGAGTCATGAAAAAGTATGCAAAAGGACGTCTTTAGTCCCTCACAGTGATTTATCTTGGTGGCCACCGGAGTCTAATTTACCGAACTGTCAACCGCACACCGGCTCTCAAATGATTTTAGCCATTTTTCAAGGTCTTGAATCTGCGATTTCGACTGTTGCGGCTTGTTTGGGGAACAAAGGGAAGCGTGTCAACGGTCCGACACAACAGAGGCAACACCTGCAGGGCACAAAGAGCCGTACTCCAACACAAACACAGCACCCTAGGGAGGAGAGGAGGGAAATAGCTTCTAACGGACAGAAAGATAAAGGCAGAGAGAAGATCTCTCGGTAGAAAAAGACTGAAAGGAAACATCCGTGCAGTCTCTAGAAAAAAATATATGCAGCATTGTTTATTGATCCCCTTATAAAAGGTTATACAAAATTTCTCTCTCTCAGCTATTCCATCAGATCTGAGGCTTTTATTTTACTCTTTCTCTTTTTTTTTAATGGTGTTTGCTAAGGCAAGCATCACTATTAAAGTTGCACATATTTATGGTTAGGGAAATGAACAAACCCCTAATCCTATGGGTTAAACTTTGTAATGCAAGTTCCTGTTTGTGTTAGAAATGTGAATAATACCTCAAACCAATGCAGCTTATATAGGTGTGCTGATACTTTAATAAGCAATTGGGCTTTTTGCCTGATGGACGATAAAACATCGAACATACTGAAGGAGGGGCCCAAGCCATATCAAAAAATAAGAATCATGGGACTCTTTTAACTTGGGCCAGTAAGTATGCTGTCTAGCATGTCCCAAGGTTTTTTCTCCATTCTGTCACCGATGGAGTTTTGGTTCCTTGCCGCTGTCGCCTCTGGCTTGCTTAGTTGGGGACACTTCATTTCCAGCGATATCGTTGACTTGATTGCAAATGATTGCAAAGATACTATTTAAACTGAACTGAGCTGGATGTTGACATCACTGAATTCAATGATGAACTGTCTTTAACTGAAAAATGAGTGTTTACTATTGTCATTTTGCATTATTTGCACACTGTTTTCCTAATTAATGCTGTTCAGTTGCTTTGACACAATCTGTATTGTTAAAAGCGCTATATAAATAAAGGTGACTTGACTTGACTTGACTAGCAACACTCTGGCAACCGAACGAAACCCCCATAGCATCCAACCAGGGGCCAGTTGCACAATGTTAAGACCGTGTCTTAAGAGCTACTTTGACTAACTAGCAGTTAACCAAGGGGTAATCAGTCTTACTTTTCAGATTCAAATTAGACCAATATACCATTTTACGTAACTGAATTCAAAAAGTTATGACCAGTCTTTAAGAAAAAATTGGATGACAAACTTATAAGACTAGCCTAAGTAGTTTAACCAACTGGCCACAAAACACCCTAAAAACACCATAGCAACACTCTAGAAAATAAATAACAATGCTCTAGAAATGCCATAGCAATGCCTTATAGCAACCACTTAGAACATCCTAGAAATTCCATATCAGTGCCCTAGCAATAAACCAGACCATACTAGATATCCCACGGAAACACCCTAGCAACCCCCAGAGCAACCTAGTACACCTAGTAACCTAATACATGGGGCACCTTTT